TAATTTGTATAGTTTGTGTTATTTGATTTGCAAATATGTTACAAATAAATTTTCTAAACAATATAGTTGGAGCAAAAGCAATGAATACAATGAAATATGAATTTATGATGTGGCCGCCATAGTTGCGAGCAGGAAATCAAATTAATTAATTTTCCGTTCGTCGACAAAGAAAAATGAGAAAATAAAGAATGCGGAATAGTTATGTTGGAATATAAACTGGATCGGGTACAATGTTTCTTTTCAGTTTTTTATGAGTTTTATGGTATGCATAATGTTGCGCTAAAAATGTGAGGTGGTGATACATTCAATGTGAATATATTTATAACATTATATTTAATAATAAATTACAAGAATAGTGAAACCTAAAATTGTTTCCAGTGTGTAAATTCTCGCTGTCCAGATGAAAATATACCTGTTTCAGATGAAAATATACCTGTTTCTTGTCTAAAGATTTTATCATACAAAATTCCTTGCAAATTATAGTGCCTTTAAAGCAACAAATTCTCACTCCCTTCCGGAGTTGATTCTCTGAAAATGCTCGCCTCAAATGGCGCATTATTTATGATCCGGCTGTAATCGCGTATGCGGTGTATATGTCAGCGAAGAAAAAAAATAAAAGTTGTAAAACTCTGTGTGCCAGAATTTTTACCTTTTTGTATCTGCTTTTAGGCGCACTACACTACATATGCATTTTTGGCAAACTAGAAGGGTGATTACCGACATCACAAAGCTAGCGATCAATTCCTGCACAACAATAACATTTGCTTCATATATACGGATTTACAAATTTGCTGTCGTATAACTGTAAAATTATTTCAAAGTTTTATACAAAGTTTTACTAACTTTTTTTTCGGTTTTTAATTCATTTTCATCCATTATTGCCATTGTTGTACTTGTTTATTATAATATATGCACATAGTATGTACTTTTTTTTTTTATTTAGCTGACATGCACACCTCATTTAGGCTATTGTATTTCTCACATGCCTTTAATGTTTATACGAGTAAACACACACAAGGAAAATTGTGTTGTAGTGACATCTCAGAATTCCAACGAGGAAAAACTAAGGAAAAATTATATAAACATTTTTTTTTGAAGTTATGAGAATTATGTAAAGTGTGTTCAAAATATTTACAATACTCAAGGATATTTTGAAAAGTTCGCAAGGATTTGCATGCACCAACCATATACAACCAAATTTAAACTAAAATCGGTTTCACTCGGTTGTCCATAATCATATTCATATCCAGCCACATATAATTCACTCATATCCATACATATCCATATTTATCCATGTCCATGTTTACATGTAAAGAAATAGATATGGATATACGTGAGTCAGGATAAGGACTCTTTTTCCGTATTCATATAAATCCATAGCCTTATTTGTATCCAGACTCATATTTATATCCCTTTTCTTATATATATGATATATAAATATTCCTGTACATATCCACATATATACACAAATTCAAAATCCGTACTCTTATCAATATTTTCTCCATAAATAATATCTACAAATAACCCCAATTTTTTCACTCTTATTTATCCATAAATCACCGAAAATGAATGACTTTTTTAAATAAAATGTTAGTTAATAATTTTTTAAACCAGAAATTGTGTCTTAAAATGCCTTCATGAGCTAGTTAATTTTTCCAGTTTTACTAAACTCTTGAAAAATTGTACAAATATAATTAGGACTGAAGCCTATCAACCGAAAAGCAGCTCATTCAAATTCAAGTATCTTGCAAATAAATTCCAACAAGCAAACAAACTTTTCCTCCTTCGTGGTTGATCAGTTAGCACACTCCAACCATAAAGATGACATTTGAGTGCCGTAAAGTATGCTACACTTTTAGGTCTGCACTAATGGAAGGCAAACATTCGTGAATACAAATTTTGAAGAATGAAATTTTATGCTTCTCAATTCAAAAACTTTCTTTTTCATGTTTAACTATTCGCAAATTTTGCACTTTTGTTTCAAAATATATATGTACATACGCTTGCAACGATAAAATTTTATAAACAAAAAGTATAATGTGGTTTTGTTAACATAACAACCACACACTACGCTCCCAGCAAATACCCCCATTCAAAACTCATATGCTGAAAAAAATTAAAATAAAATAAAACTCGGCAACAAAAATTAAAACAAACAAAATTCAAAATAGAAACACACCCAATTCAACTATGTGTACCCTCCAACAGGGTAAACATTAAAAGTTTCCAATTTTCTACTCGTTTGTATGTGTTTTGTGGTCGACAGATAGCTTCATGAAAAAATAATCGCCCCCAGCGTACGTTTCGTGCCAAGGATTTATGACCATTCGGTTGGGTAGTTATGATATGACAAAGAATCCCCGAAATATCAATAATTGAGTTTAAGTTGCTTTGAACACTGAAGAAAAATGAAATAAAAATTTGAAAAGGTTTTTTTTTTTGACATTACTAAAGGGGAATGAATGAAAATAAAATAATAATATTAAATATTATAATTATAATAAAAAATAAAATAAAAATTCAAATAAAAGAGAATTAAAAAAAAATTAATTAAAACAAAATAAAATAAATTAATATAAAATAAAATAAAATAAAATAAAATAAAATAAAATAAAATAAAATAAAATAAAATAAATTTTTATTTCGAAAAAAAAATTTTTGGAATTTTTTTTTTTTTTTTTTTTTTTTTTTTTGAAGACTATCTCTTTCAAATATTGACCGCAGCTACGTCTCAGGACCACTCGTTAAGTCTTCGATAGCTTATGCGAGCATTTCGACTGATAACTGCTGAATGAGAAGCGCGATGTTTTGCTTCAAGTCGTGAACCGAAGTGTGATTGTCCGCATAGCCCTAAGACTTTACATATTTCCACCACAGGAATAAAGAACAAGCGGTGCGATATCACACTATCTTGGTGGACAATCGACCGGAAAAGAAGTGAAATTATCTGCTCATCGAAGTGTTCTCTCAATAAATCCATTTGTTATTGCCTGGGAATTGGTGTCGTCTTATTGGAACCAAATGTCGTCGAAATCACGAGCTACCATTTTAGGGAGCAAAGAGTCGGTCCTCGTGGCGCGATTACGATCGCCATTGACGGTTACGTTTTCACCGACATGAAAAAGTATGTACCGCTGATCACACTGGCCCACAAATTACACCAAACCATTGTTATTTTCGATGAAATGGCAGCTCTTGAAACTTTTCAGGTTTCTCTTCGACCCAAATTTAGCAATTTCGCTTTTTTACATACCCAATGAGCCAGAAATGGGCTTTATTGATTAACAATATTGGGTTGGAAGCGTCGAACCTTTTTGGACCTCTTCTGTTGAAGCACAGGCTGTATTTTTAACGTTAGAAATATAAGATCACGACGTGAAATGCGCCAAGTCATTCCATACGTCAGTCTGAGTTGTTGCGAACGCCGGCGAGTCGGCTCTCCACGGTCTTCGTGTACAATCTCAGCTTCGGCTCCTATATTTTCATCCTACGTGCTGGACGTGGTCTATTCTGTATGTTCTAGTAGGACCAAGTAGTGAATGCTGGGTCTCAAAATGGGTGATGGTGTTGTGAATAGCCGATTATGTTGACCGCAAGTTAAGCGACGTGCGCGAAACGCTTTCTTTACAGTACATGAATTTTCGTAATAAAGCTGAGCGATTTGTAAACATTGTTCTGGCGTAAAACTTTCCACGATGATATGCCGTATAAAACATGCTTTTCAGTTTTATAGTTGACAGCTTGACACGGCTCACGCGTGATTTGTCTAAAATAGCTTTTGAAAAAAGTACCTTTACCTGGATCATCCTTTATAATAAATTTCCCTCAGCTCGCAGGGAGTCTACTAGGCCCCAAATATTTGGTATTCTGTGTAAAAGCTTCTTGACCATAATTCTGTCTTCTTTTATATATACATATGCATACCTCTACGTTCGGTTTGACCCATTACAGTTTCGCCAACATTTCCGTAACACGTTTCCCAATTTACCTTCATATTCCGCAAGGTTAAAGTAGTGATCCTTCAACAAATAATAAAGACCAAGCTCGAACGTAGGCCGGTTTGTGAATCTAATTATATTAGCATTTTTTTATCAGATATAAGGAACTTACTGTAAATGCCATTTCTAATAAGAAACTGCAACTTTTATTTATAATATTCGATCCTCATACAAGAGATATCTCAATTTCTGCACCTCTGTCATCCAACCTTGATTCCAGATTGGTTATGATATTCAACCTAATATGTCCGACATTGAAACAAACAGGTGTTTAATAGATTAATGGTAAATATTTTTTTATTTAAGCCTTTTTAATTTATTTGAGATTGATGCAAAGTAATAAAGCCGGACGGAAAAGAAAATAACTACTATTTGCTGAACAATAACTTTTTTTTTGCTACGTTTGTAACTCCAAAAATGTATATAAACTGAACAAAATTATACAAATCATGACATACGAAATCAATTGAGGTCTAAAAAGGATAAGCTAGCGATAGACCTCTGATGAAATCCCTTTGTTGAAATGCCTTTTCAAAAGGATGATTTTATTTTTCCTTTTAAGAAAATTCAGAAAATTGTTAATTATTATCCCAGCTCTTCAGTAGCAAAGAGATTAGCTAAAAATTCGTACTTATCAAAAGTTAGCTTCGGGAAGAAATATTTACGCTTTTTCTTGGTATTGTGGCCATGCTACAATAATTTAACGCTTGTCAAAACATGGAGCTGAATGGAAGCTGGCTTCTCTAAGGCTCTTTGTTAAGTTTTGCAAATTTTTCGATATTACCAAAGAAAACAAGAAATAAGGCTACACAACATGCTTAGGGAGTATTCATTAAAATGTAGTTTGTTATTACGGTATTCTTTCACACTAATACTCACTCTGAAAGCCCTGTGTTTTCACTGTAATATTAAAATTAACAAATTGTATGTGCATACCCATAGCAATCCCATCTACGTATTATTAATATTTCCATTTTAATTTTATCTTTTCTTTATTTTCAGTCACGTGCGTAGATTTTTGTAATGTTCTGGACAAGTTGAAACCGAATATATGGACAAAAACAAAAAAATAAAATCAAGTAAAAACTTGGAAGTATCAAGAGTCCCGCACTCGCAAGAACTGTAAGTAGCGATGAAGTAAATGTAATTAAATACTGATATTTGTGCAAATATTGTATATATTCGAGTACACACATACATACGCATATGTTTATGGAAAAGTAAATATGTGCAGAAATATATTCTGTGCAGTAACGATTCCAAAGGATCCTTTGCAACTTACAATAAAATTAAAAAATACCGTCAAAAAAAAAATAAACATATAAAAGAAAACGCAATAGAAAAAATGAAAATAAAAAGAAAAATAAATTAAACAAAAACAAATCAAAATAAAATAAATAAAAAACTAAATTAAAATATATACAATAAATTAACGAAAATCAAGAATTAAGATTAAAATGAAATGAATAACAGGAAAGAAAAACTAAAACCAATAATATATAATAAAAAAATAAACATAAAGAAATTGAATAAAATAAAATAAAATAAAATAAATTAAATTAAACTAAATTAAATTAAATTAAATTAAATTAATTTAAATTAAATTAAATTAAATTAAATTAAATTAAATTAAATTAAATTAAATTAAATTAAATTAAATTAAATTAAATTAAATTAAATTAAATTANAAATAAAATAAAATAAAATAAAATAAAATAAAATAAAATAAAATAAAATAAAATAAAATAAAATAAAATAAAATAAAATAAAATAAAATAAAATAAAATAAAATAAAATAAAATAAAATAAAATAAAATAAAATAAAATAAAATAAAATAAAATAAAATAAAATAAAATAAAATAAAATAAAATAAAATAAAATAAAATAAAATAAAATAAAATAAAATAAAATAAAATAAAATAAAATAAAATAAAATAAAATAAAATAAAATAAAATAAAATAAAATAAAATAAAATAAAATAAAATAAAATAAAATAAAATAAAATAAAATAAAATAAAATAAAATAAAATAAAATAAAATAAAATAAAATAAAATAAAATAAAATAAAAAAAAATAAAATCAAACAAAATAAAATTCAATTAAATTAAATTAAATTAAATTAAATTAAATGAATTAAATAAATTAAATAAATTAAAATAAAATAAAAAACGATTTTAAATGAAATGAAATAAAATTAAATAAACTCAATTAAAATTAAATTAATTACTGCAAAATTCAACGAAATTATTAAGAAAATGTAAAGTAAAATTAAATAATAAAAGCAACTTGCAAAAAATAATATTCTAATGAAATAAAATCAAAAAAAAAAGGTTTTTTAGTTGGCTTTTTCGGCCATGCAAAAAGTTTTGTACCTATAATGACTATAGAAAATTTATGGTATACCATTTCAGTATTTAATATCAACTCTCATATTTAAAAGATTGGTTGAAGGGACTACATTATAAAGCTTTCAGATTTTTATGATTTTCTTGTAAATTTTTATTTGCATATTCGTTGTAAAAATATTTATAATCATGTTCTTAGCTACTCTCTTGGCGAAGTTTTTACGCAAAACCTCATATTTGAACAAAACGGTTATATATGGGACGTATGATATAGTCTGCTGATTAAATAATTTTCGTATCTAACTTTATTTGTAGATACAATTATTAGTTTTCCAAAATTTTTTCTTAGAATTTAGTTTGACGAATTTTTGATTCTTAACTTCACAACAACAACTTCGAAAAAATGTGAGTTTAAGTTATGATTGTCCAATAGATAGTAATTCAACATACTTATACTTTTTTTTAGGTGTTTGCAATCCAAATTCTTTAGACTTAAACTTAGTATATAATATGTCAGTTCCGACAAATGATCATTCAAATGTACCCGTACAGCTGTGTACTAAGTTTGGTTGCAATCTCATATATCAGTTTTTGATACTCACACAATTAGGCCCAACGATAAAATACAATGCGTGAAGGGAATGTAAAAGTAAAGAAAATTAAATAAAATAATGAAGACAAATAAAAGGACACTATGTAAAATTCATTGAGATAAAATAAAATAAGTGAAATAAAATGCATGGAAGTATAATAATATAAAATAAAACGGAATAAATATAAAAAATAAATAAATAAATTTAATTAGTAGGAATCTGAAATAACAGAAAATAAAAATATAGTAAAGATTTCTCTGCCCAAAAAATAGACGAAGTCAATATTCGTTAACAGTACACTTCAATAATACAAGCGTTTCAATTTAATTTCTTCCTTTTCCTGATCAAAATCCCATTATATATTTCACATTTAAAAGCACATCTTTCACTTAAGACAGCTTTGCACTTTTGCACATACACATATATACACGTTTATATATATTTATATTATAATCTAGTACATCCTTTTTGTGAAATCCTCTCAACCAGCAAAACATGCTTTTAATTAAATTGGTACAAAATGAATTGATTTGCATTGTAATTTATGTATTTCAGTAAACCGACCAAATTTGTTTTATACATTGAGTTTGCTATTGTCTGGTTCTTTTTCTCATGCTCCCTTTCCATTATTCTCTGTCATTTCTTAGCGAATTTTCGCTCGTATCAGCATTCTGTGTGCGTCCATAAATTTTGCAAAAGTTCATTGTTGGCTTATTTAAAAGGGACTAAAAGCCAGTTAGTTACTATTTTTATTTGTCTTCGCACAATTTCGAAGTGATAAAGGATATTGAAATTACAAATACACAAATAAAGAAGCGTAGAAGAGATTAAGAATTGGAGAAGAAGGAATATTGTCACGTTGGCACTTAATTCTTGCTTTTGCAATGGCTGACAGCTGGATTTTTTTCCCGTTCTCGTGAAAAAAGTGGTGGTGAACATGACATAATAGTGCAGAAGTGATAAAGAAATGAAGGCAGCTTCTGATTTAACTGATTCTAATTTTTTAATATATTTTATATAAGTTTTTATGGTTTTCCTAAAGTTTTTAGTATATTTTATTTTATACAAAATTCTTTTCATACTTCTCATTAATTTGCATGGTTTAAAAACATTGCAAATATGTTTGTTATAAATTAGCCATCACGCAAAAAATGTCAAAATCATTCTGTTAACATTCTCCGCTTGCGAATCGGTCATCGTATTTTGGAGAGAGAATAAGCACTGGCATTAACCGCCTTTTTATTGCCAACATCAAATACTGTTATTACAATTTTATTACCAGGTGCTGTGTGTTTCTTAAAATTCATATCTTACTAACGGGTTTTAATATCCAATTTGGAAGGTAATAAAAAGCTGTTAACACAGAAAACTTCACGGCAGCATAACGTGTTTGAATTGAGTAATGATTTTATTTTGCAGGCCTAAACTAGGATTTTATTCGCTTTTCCGATTATGTTTAATAAAACCAGATTATCCATTACATATTAAGTTAAATTATAATTAAGTATAGATTTGAATCCATTATTTGGATTACCTTTTCTGTGCATAATGAGAGGTTTGCTAATATAAAAATGGGTTTCACATAAACGAATAGTGAAAGGAAAATCCCTAATTTCTCATTTACTTAATTTAATTCTTGCTTTCATAATTTAATTTTATTTCATTTTATTTTATCTAAATTTAAATTTTTTCATTTTATTTTATTCAGCATTTTTTTGCCTTTACATTACTTTATAAAATTTTAAAGGTCTAAATAAATTAAAAAATTATTTATATAAAAATGGAATAATATGCATTTATGTTCATTAATTTTAATTTTATTTTATTTCATTTATTTTATTTTATTTTATTTTACAATATTTTATTTTATTTTATTTTATTTTATTTTATTTTATTTTATTTTATTTTATTTTATTTTATTTTATTTTATTTTATTATATTTTATTTTATTTTATTTTATTTTATTTTATTTCATTTTGTTTTATTTAAGTAATAATTATTCCGATTTAAATTAATTAGTTTTTTTGTTTAATTTTTATTTCGTTTTATGCTTTTTACTACTACTTATTTTATGATTAGTTCTTTTTTATTAAATTTGGTTTACATTTATTTGGTTTTTATTTCTAATAATTCGGTTTTCTAATTAATTTTATTTAAAATTATTTTATTCTAATTTTTTTATTTTAAATTATATTATTATATATTTTAGTTGATTTTATTTTTAAAAGGTTTCCTTATATTATTATTTTATTTTATTTGTTTGATTTGATTTTACTTTATTTTGTTATAACTTAAACTATATTATTTTATTTTAATATTTTTATTTTAATTTTTTTTTTAATTCCGTTCTTACACGTATATATTATTTTATGTTATTTCATCTCATTTCCAATCATTTTATATTAAGTATTTTATTTCATTTCGTTTTATCTTATTTTATTATGTTTTATTTAACTTTATGTTATGTTATCTCATTTCCAATCATATAATTTAATTTTGTTTTATGTTATTTTTTATAGATTATTTCATTTTTTATAATAAAAATTTGCTTTTTTGTTATTTCATGAAGTTTAGTTTAATTTATTTGTATTTTTTTATTTTGTTCTAATATTTTTATTATTATTATTATTTTAATTTTATTGTATTTATTTTATTTTATTTACATTAAGTTATCTTATTTTTTTAGTTTAATTTGTTTTATTATATTTTATTCGACTTTTGTTTTTTATTTAAATTTTTGTTTTAGATTTAGTTTTAGTTTCTATATTTTTTTTGAATACAAATTTTTTTATTTTACTCTTTAATTTTATTTTATTGCATTTTAAGTTATCTTATTTGAGCTTATATTTTAAGTTTTTCAGCCCAGTTCAATTAAATATTTAAATGTGTCTTTAAAATCTTCTCAATTATCATATCCCCTTCGCGTGAGCTCACTTTATCGCGGCACTAAAGGTTGTCAATGCTCGGCGCAAACAAACAAAACCGTTACACGCGAATGTTTTGTGTGCAAAAATTAAATGACTGCACTAATTACAAAGTGCTTGTTGTTATTAAACTCGTTACAATATTAAATATTTAGAATCGTTTCGAAAGCAACTTGAGAGTCCTTGCGTGTTACTTGGTATCCGCTACAGTGAGTTACTTGCTTTGATCGCTGCACATGAGTTTTGTATGTATGTTTG